CACTCCCCCGGGGGGGTGTGTGTGTGTGTTGTGCTGCCGGGGGCGGGCAGGAGCGGTACCTCTGCGGAGAAGCAGAGCTCCGGGCTGGCAGCCCCGCAGCATCGCTCCCGCAGCGCCGCGAACGCCGCGGCCACCGCGCTCAGCTGCTCCTGGCTCAGCCGGGGCTTGTACTTGATGAGGTTGATGAGCATCCTGCAAGCAAAGCACAGCAAAGGCAGCGCCGTGAGGCCCCGGGGGGGCAGCAGCAGGGGGAGCTTCTCCAGAGCTGTTTTGTGCCTGCCCGCTGCCCTCCCACCAGCTTTTCCACCCTGGTTCACCACCCAGAGAGGTCTTTGCAGCAGATGTGCCCGTGAGACCGAGCATCAGTGCTCGTTTCTGGGGCTGTTCCACCACCAAGAGGCCGTGCAGGGGGGCTGGGGGGTCGTTGAGCAGCACTGCAGGGTGCCCAGGGCAGCCTGGGGTCACTGCAGCACCAGGGAAAGGCCGAAGAGGTTTCCTTTCCTTGCAGTCACTGGGGCAGGCAGCATGTGAGTCTTCTCTGACCAAGGTGACCGAACACCAGTTTCAGAGGCTGAAGGAGAGCGTGGGCTGGGCTGTTCTGGGGAAGGAGCCCTGCAGGTCCTGCAGTGCTTCCCTGGGAAATGCCTCACATCCCTTTTGTTCCCCCTCTGAGAATGACTTTCCTCAAGTCTAAGGCAAGTAAATATGGGTGGAACCAGCTGGCAGAAGAAACTGGGACTAGTGGGAGAGGAGAGAAAAGGACCTGGGAAGAGGGATTGAGGAGCATCTGTTTGGTTTTCCATGGAATATTGCAGACCAGGAAGGCCAGGCAGAGCAAGCAAGGGACAGGTGAGCATTGCCAGGGAAGGAAAAAAGGGGGAAGAAAATAAACAGGCATGTCTTACTCCTGCTTCTTGTGCTGTAACTTTTCTTCTTCATCTGTACACAAGTCTTCATGGAAAGTGAACAGATCAGGAGTCAAGGATAAAGGCACAAAATTCTCATCAACTTCTAGTTTCCCCATGCATGGTCTCCTGAGAGCATAGGAGCTACTACAGCAGTGGCAAACTCCTGGGTTTATAGGATCAGTCTGGTGTCTTCTACATATTTCTCCAAGCACAAGATCCATCTTTACCAAGAGAAGTGAAAAAAAAAATAATATATATATATATACACTATTTTTTAATTTTCAAAAATCGCTGAAATACATGATGGTCTTGGTAAAGTCATAAAAAATATCTGAGAATTTATATTAAGCCTTGTTTTTAAGACAGATATAAGTTTATATTTCTAATGAATGCTGGGTTTTGTCAGTGCAAAACTGGCTCAGATTTTTCAGGATAAATTTGCACAGGCCATTATAGGGACTGTCTTTTGAGCATAGAACTGATGTGACTCATTTATGACCCAGTGCTTGTGTTTGATGTCCTCAGCAGCAGGGCTTCTGGTTCAGCTGCTCTGGTAAACGTGGTGTTGTACAAAGGGGTGGCTGCAGAACAGGCTGGGACAGGTTGGATGGGGCTCTGAACAACCTGGGCTGGTGGGAGGTGTCCCTGCCCATGCAGGGGGGTTGGATCTGGATGATCTTGAAGGTCCTTCCCAACCCAAACCATTCTATGATGACTCTATGATTTTCAAGTACTTTGGCTTATGGGCCTGGAGAATTCTTAGGGGAGAGCTCTACAAAACTGAGCCTTTCCACGGGGCACAACATCTTCAGGCAGCTAGAAAGGATGGGCTCAGAGGAGGGACCATGAGCTGCAGGGGGAACAGGGCTGGGTTGCCTGTGCTGCACAGCTCTGACCTGCCTCAGCCACTGCCAACTGCACCAGCCTGGCCTCTTCCTGAGCCTCCTGGAGTGGTAACTTCAGTGATGCTCAGTCCTGCTTTCTTCAGGCATGGAAGTACATCTTCAGGTCAGCTCAGGAGCTCCGGGAAGGTTTTTCCCCATTTACATGTGCTCCCAGCTCTCAGACCCTGCTGGCAGCAGAATTTGTGGCCAAGTTTCCAGCAGGACCAAGGTAAGAAAGGAAAATACTCACGTTTTCCTCAGCACAAGGCAGCAGCTTATCCTGGCTCAACTGACAGCATTTGGAGCCAATTGTAGTCATCTGCTTGGTGAATTTGATCAGCTCTGCAGATGTCAGCTGAGGCATCTTCTTGGTGAAGCTCATGAGAAGCCTGAAACAATAATTTATTTGGTATTGGTTTTTTTGTTCTACCAGGCAGCAAGTCCCTGCCTTCACATGCCTAAAGCTCCAGCCAAACCACAGGGAGCAGGTGTCAGTGCCAGGACAGGACTGAGTTTATACACTCAGGAAGGCAAGTGGCAGCTGCTGTCTGTTTGAGATCATTTCTTTTTCTGACCAGTCTCTCACCAGGTTAAACAAAATCAAGGACAACACTGCCAGCTATATGTCCCATCTTACCAGATGGTACAGATATTTTTCCTGCATTGCTCATTTCCCTGGGAGTGCAGGGAGCTTGTCTGAGAGCAAAACTGAACTTGAGTGACTTCTTGGCAGGAAAAAAAGTTCACATTTTTTTCTTCTTCTTCTTAAAAAACTGTGCTTATTTTAGCCATCATGGCCAAGAAAACCTAGATGACTGATACAACAGGAAGAGGCAGCCCACCAGGTTTGTTGGAAACCTCTAGTTCCAAGGGTATTTTAAAGATCAAACATGAGTGCAAAAAGCCCAATGCACCTCCCCGGAGGAGGTGAACTGAAGCAGAGCTTGAAGTACACAAGCGCTTCAGAGGTTTCACTGAGGTTGCTCACATACTTGAAGTTAAGCACATGCTCATTAGCTTTGCAAATCAGGGCCAAAGTTCCTCCAGGAGGCTTGTGCCTGCATGTTGCATTTAAGCATAGTGCAAGGTTTCAGCTACTCTGGTTTTGCTTTCCCTGGTGTAGGCAGATTCTGTTACAATTGTTAATGTTTACATCTGCTGCAGGAGCTGGAGAGAGTAAAGTCTTTTGCAAAAGACACAGCACCTGTATTTTTTTGGCCAAATTTCTGACTCTAACTTAGAGCTCAAAGCTCAAAACACAACTAGAAATTCATAGAAAACACGGGTGGGGAGATGGATCAAGTTGTCACTTTGCTTCCTGAGTTGGGTTAAGGAGAGAACTCCTGAGAGGCCAGAACATTGTTTTGGAAAAGAGGGAAAATTAAAAATCCTGGAAGCCATTCACATATTGGTCCAAATATTCAAATGGTGTCTTTTAGCCCAGCTTTTTTTGACACTCCAGCCCGAGTTGTGCCCAGCTGGACAGGAGCAATGTAAGCACAGAAAAGGGTCATACTCGTTTTGGAAATAGTAATCTCCTTTCTCCTTGTAAATGTCACAGCTGGTCTTCATGACACTTTCAGTTTCATAAATATGTTTCTTCAGTTCTTCCTCCTGAAAAAAATAATAATAAAAAAGTTAATTGGGGGAGTCATTATCTCAGGGGGAGCACAGAAGGCCCCAGTGCCTCACAATAAGGCCTGGGTGTCTTTAGCTACCTCCCACCTGATTTATGCCACCCATTTGTAGTTGTGTTGGGAAGTCTTCATCTGCCTGAAACCTCCATAAAGTGCCTGAAGGTGGTAAATACCCACATCCAGTCTCCTTGAAGTATTTAATTTTGTATCCCTGCTGGAAGGCGATGTCTGGCATAATAACCATAAGTGCCTTCTTACGTTTCCAGGAGGGCACTTGGCACTGCCAGAGGGCCCAGAAAAGAGCAGGACTCAGAGAAATATTAGTTCCATCCCATCCCCAGCATCTTATCTATCCATGTTAAACTGCTTCATAACTGAAGATTATGAGGGTTCTATGGAATCAGGCCTTGCAATATTTGCTAAGTTTGTTCCAGGAGCTGTGGGTAGTCAGTCTGGACCTGGAACAGAGATATTCCCTATTTCTCCAGCACAAGCCATGTGGCCAGACCTTTGGATCCATCAGTGTGGTGTGTGAAGCCCAACAGCACCCACCCCTCTGCTGCAGCATCCATCTGGAGCACCAGGTTTGCAGCACTCTGTCAGGAGGTCCTCATATCCTTTCCCAATTCTTAAAAGCATTTGAGCAGAAAATTCAGGGTGTCTCCTGGAATATTCATACAGAAACCTGCAACACGTGGAGTGTCAGAAGTTAGAGGTAAGCCCTGACAACTGCCCTCAGGAGGTGGGGGGGGGATAGTAAGGACAGCAGAGGCTGCTTTTGGGTTGGGTTTGTCTGATGCCCAGTGGAAGAGGGAGAGTTTCACAGCATCTCAGCTTGGAACTGAACCGAAACAAAATGTGGCTGCTTGAGGAGCCTGAGCAAGTCCTGTGCAAGTGACAGTCCCAGCTCAGTGGGAGCTTGGGTCAGGCACAGCTCAGAGCTTCATGGGGCTTGGGGTGTTGCTCTCTTTTTAATCCTGTCTAAATGATAAATAATGATCATGAAATAATTTCCAGCAACTGACCCACTTCTCAGCAGTCACTGGAAGGATGGGATCTGCTGAAGCAGTCACCCTACACAGCAGTCATGCCCAAGCAATTAGCAGCTCTTCTCATAAACTGGTGTGTGTTATTTGAAGTGAATTCAAAGCTGTATTTTAGGGCTGAGACCAGAACTGATAGCACATGGATGTCACATGCCTTTCTTCAGTTTTTGTCACTGCAAGAACAACTCTGCCCTGTCCTACACTTGTTCCCATCCCGCACCTTGGGTGTTTTTCTAAGATCCACTTGCACAGTGTCCCATGCCCTTGTGCTCACAGAGCAGACTAATCTGAGGCTGATGAGCTGGGCTTTGACATCCAGGCTGTCATCTTTTGAGACCCCAGGATTGAAAGAGCAAAACTCTGAAGAGCAGAGAAAGTCTCACATTACCTGCCTAAGTGTGTGTCTTTTTCCTGGGCAAAACGCTCACATATTCCTTTGTCCTTTATAAACTCCCTGACGTGGGGGGACAGGTCTGCAGGTTTGTCATCATTTTCTGCATTAATTATGCATTCACTTCTTTGTAACAGAGGCTTTTCACAGCACTTCTTAATTTTGCTTGATAGGATGTCTTGGTTGGTGCAGACATAGTGGAGAATCTCCTCCTGTAAAGCAAAATAAAATAAAAAATTTAACAGATTTTGGTCTTTTTTTTTCTTCTTCTTTTTTTTTTTTTTTTTTTAATCAGTGGTTCTATCTCCATTTTGCAGACAGAGAAGGTGAATCCCAAAGACAAGAGGTGACTGCCTTAAGCTGGGCAACAGACATCTGGCAGATGAAGAGGACTTCACCATGAGGGTAGGAAGGTGCTGGCCCAGGTTGCCCAGGGAAGCTGTGGCTGCCCCATCCCTGGCAGTGTTGAAGGGCAGGTTGGATAGGGCTTGGAGCAGCCTGGGCTGGTGGGAGGTGTCCCTGCCCATGCAGGGGGGGGTTGGATCTGGATGATCTTTAAGGTCCCTTCCAACCTTCACCATTCTATGATTCCATGAAAGCCAACCAGGTTTTTAAGACTCAAAGTCCAGTTTTGGAGAGCAATCAGTACAGCAGAGAAGGGAAAAAAAAAAACAAACAACTTGAAAACAACAATTCCATTTCTCAATTCCACATTCTATTTCTGCAAGCATAGGAGTATGAGAGGAGTTTTACCCTCTGATGCATACAGTCCAGCATGTCCCCACGGCAGCAGGCCTGGTGCATGTTAGCAATGTCCACCACAAGTTTGCTAACACTAACAAAATCAGCTTTAGGGAATTTTTGGCTTATCTGAACAAGTTTCCTGCAACGAAGGAAAACAGTTATTGCTTCTATTCAGTGTGAGGCTGTGAGAGCTACTGTCACCTTCCTGTGGAGGGGGTATCCAAACTGCTCAGGGATTGTCTCTCCCTGCTACCACTGAAGTGAAGAAATACATGTCCCTTGAAGCCAATTGCTGAGGTTTTCTATCTAAGGATCCCAGGTGAATTGCAGTGTGAAGTGGTGGAAAGAAATGTGGTAGGTGAGCATGAAATTGCAGCAGCAATCTTGTGTCCAAAATGGTTGAGACAGAAGAGTTGTATTTTATTTGTTTTGCTCACAAATCACTCTAACTTCCATCACAGAGAGGTGCATTCATTTCAAACTCTGGGTTTAGAGTTTGAAAGCTATGGGCAGTGAGTGAGGAAAAGGTGACTGTTGTCATGCAGAAATTGGTGCTCCTCATCTGTCATCTTTGCTAGATGCTACTAGTGACCTGCATACAAAAGGTTGGTATTTGGGGTCACTGTGCCACCTGCAGGTGTGAAGCCTTCCACAGCTAATGTGCAACATCCATGCTTTATTTCAAACTAATGATAAAGATGGAGAAGACTCACAGAGCTTTTAAGGTCCTTTCTCCAAACTTCTTCAAGATTCCACAGGTGTGTTCCTGCCTCAGGCCATCCTCTTTTATTGGCTTCACCACCTTTGGTGCCTGGTAGAAAGAAGATGCAGAGCATGAGGGTGGAAGAGAAGACAATGCCCGACACTAGAACTGCTGCTTGCTGTGACTCTTTGTTTAAACAGGGAGTTTTCAACAGTGAAAGAAAAATGCTGTCCCAGCTGCAACATGAACCAGCTGCTGTTCAGTCACCAGCATTTTCGGAGTGTTCTGTGAAAAGAAACCAGAACCCTTTTAGACAACAGGTCAGTGTTCTTACCAGAAGGGACACAATCGAGGTGAATTTTAATATCAGGTTCAGATGGTGAGAAAGTAAACGGCTGGGAACTCTGCTTCACTCTTGGGTTAGCTGGTTGCAGGTGAACAAGCCGAAAGCCTAGGCTGGCTCACCTGCCTGCGGAAACATTCCTCCAGGCCACCAGTCGGGGCTGCAGCACTTCCACAGCAGCTCTTCAGCATCTCCTCGTACCGCAGAGCGGCAGAAAGGATTGTCGGGGCATGGAGGAAAGGATGTCTTCTGGAAACCTCGTAGATAAAACTGAAGGCCAGAGAAAAAGGGGCTTTAGTTTCGGAGTAGAGGCAGGAGGTAGCAGTGTGGCTGCAGCATCTGCCATGTGCTACAGTGAGAGCTGATTAACAGGATTGTTTTCCTGCCATAATGATGAGCTGTACATTGCAGTGTTTTATCTTGGAAAATTCTGATGGGCCTGGTGTTTGCCTGGAAACTGCAGTGTCAAAAAACCCTGCCAGGCTTGGCGGCATCAGAACTTCTGCTTGTTTTTTAAGGATGAAAGGGAGGCCCTTGGTTTCCGATGAGTCCTTTCCATAGACCACAATAAAACAGGCCAGGTATTGGTTGCCATTTGGACCTGTATGCAAAGCAGGAGGTGGCAGAACAAGCTTCACGTAGTGACAATTACACCTTGATGAATTACTCAAATAATTCACACTGGAAAGAAAAATCAGCATGAGACTACAGAGCAACTTAGATTGAACTTGTGGTTGATCCAGCATTTGCTGCCTCCAAGCTCAACTGTATTTACTTACTATGCTGTCAATGGATGTTGATGCTGCGAATAATTTCTGCAGGCAGCTTCAGCATTTGGCCTTTCAAAAGGTGAAATGAACCCTCTTGATGAATTTTTAAGGGAGAGGAAGCAGTCGTTTCTTTCAGGATCCTTTTTAGCACAGCAGCCAGTAAAGCTGGGAAGATTTTCCTCCTGGCATATTGTATCGAGGAAAATCTTGTCCTGTGGAAAATGAGAGAAGAGATAATTTGTGTGCAGGTTCCATTTTACTCTTCTGAGCTCTCTGAGAGGGCTGCTTTCAGCCAACAAGCCCTGACTTTGTGCATAAAGTCACAGTTTCTCTCTTTATCACCTCCTGCTTTCACTGCATCTCTGGAGCCTCTAAGCGATCATTTCTCAAACTCTGATACCTGCTGCTATGCCAAGACACACTTGGAAGTGGGATGGTTTTCAAACACCCTGAACTTAGAACATTGTTTGGACCTTTTTCTTTCTAGCAATCAAGATGACTGATTTGTATGCTGCAATTTGCAGCACAGCAGGATCTGTGTTTTCTGGTTGCAGTCAGGTTCATCTAGTGAAGTGCCTTATTTGTTGTTCATCAAGCAGTGGTGCTCAGGTCCAGGCGTCAGTCACACCTCAGCTGGGAGCTGTTTTAACACAGGGATTGTTTCAGTGTGCCTGACAAATCAGAAATGAGCCACAACTGACTGACATTCCTGTTTCAGGATTCTTTCTGCCAGCTACAAAAGTGTTTTGGAACAGAGTCCATGAGAAACCAGGACCATGAGCTAATGGAGTGGAGCAAATGCTTATAAACATCACATGTGCTAGAAATATCTCATCTGGCTTCTCCTCAGCTTTTTTAAAGCAGCCCTGAAAGCACAACTTTTCTGAACATCTTTTAGAATGGTACAGGTCAAGGATTTCAAAAGAGGCTGAAATATTTGGAGTGGGATGTGGAGAGAGGCTTTGTTTTCCTGCATGTAACTTAAGATGCTTTGCAGATGAAGAACGAGAGGGTCAGTAAGGCCAAAGTCTTGTGCATGAAGAAGTCAGGTCCCTTCAGGCTGTATTCACACCTTGTAGGAAAAACACATAACGGGGCTCTAGGAACTGAGAGTCACTTCTGGAAATGTTTGCCACGTGAGAAGCATAACTGTGCTTACCAAAGGCTGCAGGCAGTCAGGGCTGTCCCTGGGAGCAGCAGCACCACCAGCAGCACCAGCAGCAGCACCACCAGCAGCAGCACAGCCTTTGGCAAGGGCTGTGACATCTTCAGCCATTTTCACTGTTTGGCCAAACGTGCCTCCTTGCACATACTGAGCAAACATGATGGTGGCGCTGCGAGGAGAATGCACAGCGTTAAACCTGGTCCTGGCTACCTAAGAGCTAACTCGGTGACTTCCCCAGGGGGGACAGTGGGAGGGCTGGTGACCCCCTGGGCTGAGCTGGCAGAAGGGGTGGGTGTTTAGCCCATGGGACACCCTCATTTCCACACAGTGGCAGCAAATTTGCAAGGAGATGCTTTTCCTGGACAACTTACATGGCTTTAAAATTTTTCTCCTGGAGCTGGGAAAAGCGTTGCCCAATGCTGGTTTTTCTCTCTGAAAAACAAGATGATTTGAATAAAAAACATTTAATAAATGCTTCATGAAGTACTTCTATACATTTAATTTTTTTTAGTACTGGAGTCTTGGAGAAAGATAATCAGATAACTCAGTGCCTGGGGTACTGGCACTGGGGTAGGAAGGCATAAAATTGAACTTCCTATGTGACTGAAGCATGAGGCTGTGGAACTATTTGTCTCTGACCTACACTACAATAGGGCCAATATGATTTCCCTGCTTGTCTCAAGTGTTGAGGGGAGGAACAGTCTTAAACCTGGAGGATGTTCAGCTACTTTGGTGATGCACTTCACATGATTAAAGAAGGACCTTGCAAAACACCTTGCCTTAGCTATTTAAAGGTGTGCTTGCCCACTCTTTAGCTATTGATGAAGGATTGTCTGTGCAGAAAAGATAAAGGATGAAATGAGGACTATACTGGTAGGCAAAGGTCCTCAAAAATCTCACAGACCTGCATCCTTCTGTCCCTCTCATGAACTGGCCCAGTGGAAAGCAAATGTGGCCAATCTATGTGATGATTATGTGCAAGAGTTTTTCCTCTACCACTGGGCCTTTCTTAACAGTCAAACCTTCATGCAATAAATTTCTTGAGTCCCTCCTTTGCCAGAGAAGATTCTGAGAGATTAATTTTAAAATAAGGGGCCTGTTCCCAAATCTAAATGTTACTGTCTGACCCTCATGTCAGGAGGGCTGAGATCAGTATTAAAAGGATCAGAGAAATAAGACAGCTTCTCCCTCTGAGTAATGCAGTGGTCTCAACTGAGGTGACAGCCTGAAATAACTAAGACAAACATCAGTTGTGTTTTACACTGTTGGGTCATTTAGTGCATCTAGAAGTTATAAAGATGAAAAAAAAATAAATTATTGGCTTATCTGAACCCCACCTTATTTGAGATTTTCAGCAGTTTCATTTGAGGCACTTAACCTGAGAGAGAAGTGTGGTCATCACAGGCTCTTTAAAGAGTGGTTAAAGAGAGAGTGAGGCCCCTCCAAAGGAGAGTGAAGAGCAGCAGTGGAACTTAACTACCCTGAATAGCCACCTGGAGGGCACATCTCTCTGTCTCCATTCCTCATGGGTTGCAGAGGGAAGTTGGAACAACCACGGGCTGTACTCCAGCAGTTTTTAGGGTACCTAAAAGCAGTGGTGCAACCACATCCCTGTGGATTAAATTGCTCTTCAACAGACTTACTCCCAGGAATCACTGACAATCCTGCACTCTACACAGGTTCTCAAGCCATAAAGAAGCAACACATCTGATAAAAAAAACTGAGCCAGATCCAATTTAGTTGTGTAGCTTTGACCCATAAGAACATGCTCAGTGGCAACATGAGCTACCAAATAAGCATGCATGCTAAGCTGCAGCCACCAGTATTACAGAAAAGTAGTAAAATTATAAAATATATTCTTACCCATGTCCTGATAACTTCTAGGCAGGGCTTTGGCTACAGTCAGGCTCACCAATAAAATAACATAAATGGTTGTTCTCCAGTTCATACTGTCAGGTCTCTTGGCAAGGGTTTGGCTTGGGCTTGGTTCCTCTGTGAAAGGCAGAAAGAATTAAGGAGAATAGTTACTTTTATACTCTCCCAAACAATTTCTGGTTAATTAAAACCCTTTTACTGTCATATATAACATTAGCCCTTTGGGAATGTTCCCATAATAATTAGACATGCCATTATTTGCTCAGTATGATGAAGTGACCAGCATGTTGCAAATCCTTGTACATTCCTTTTTTTTTCTTTTTTTTTTTTTTTTTTTTTTTCCTGAAATACAGACAAATAGACATTTTTAACTTATCACACTTCAAACAAGAAGTTTAAACACTCCCTGGGCTTTTATCATGCATACTCATCTCACCTACTTACCAATTTGTTCAAAGGTGGTTGCTGTGCAGAAGATGCCTTTGTAACACACTGCTGACTGAAAAATCCCAAGTTCAGCTGTTAACTCGATATTTTTTGCATCCCTCCTTGCTAAAATAGTTGCCATAAAAATGTCTCTGAATCTTGAAACAAAACTCCAAAACTGTAGAATGAAGAGAAAAATTCCAGTTAATACAGCTATTTGAATGACTTTCAAAAACATATCCTGTAAGGATCAGCATGATAAAAATGTCAAATGTTTGGACATAGCATGGCTTTAGAGGGCCACAGGTATCTGTAACTAAGAGTTAGAGGGGCAAGGATGCTTGTGTTTGGTCTGAAGAAAGAGGCAAATACAGAGCTTATTTATTTAGAGAAAATGGGAATAGTCTTTGATCCGTGCTGCAGGAAGACAATGAGGGTTGCTTGTTACCACATGACACTGTATCAGAAGGGAAAAGGGACTGAGAAGCTGGCAGCATGGTCATCAGAGCAGAAGATCTGCTGCAACCTAAGGTGTAACCACATCTGTTGAGGAAGACAGGGACAAGCCCTGTCACACTGTTAACTAAAACGCCACACAGGAAGGAGAGGAATGTACTTGAAAGAAAGAGGACGGGAGGTTATGGACCATCTTTCTCCATTTATTATCCACATTAAGTCCATAGGAGCAGATCGGCGAAAGCTTTTCTCCTCCAGCTGCTTCCAAAAAGGCAATTCCCTCTAGCACTCTCTCATGTCTGCCAGTTGCAAGTTCCTCCCTCCAGCCCCCAGGACTCAGCAGCAGCCCCAGAGCAGAGTCCCCACAGGGACAACCTGGGGACCATCCAGTGTGTTCCTGCTCCCCTTTTCCCAGGAGGAGAAGGAAAGAGGTGAACAATGGCATCCTGGGGTGCATTAGAAAGGGGGTGGTTAGTAGGTCAAGGCAGGTTCTCCTCCCCCTCTATTCTGCCTTGGTGAGGCCGCATCTGGAATGTTGTGTCCAGTTCTGGGCCCCTCAGTTCCAGAAGGACAGGGAACTGCTGGGAAGAGCCCAGGGCAGAGGCACAGAGATGCTGGAGGGAGGGGAACATCTCCCTGCTGAGGAAAGGCTGAGGGAGCTGGGTCTGTTGGGCTTGGAGAAGAGGAGACTGAGGGGCCACCTCATCCAAGACATTCAAACCCACCTGGACACATTCCTGTGTGATGTGCTCTGGGTGCCCCTGCTCTGGCAGGGGGGTTGGACTGGGTGATCTTTTGAGGTCCCTTCCAACCTCTAAGATTCTGTGACAATGATCTTCTCATTCTCAGAATATAATCTTGTTACTATAAGCCATAAAAATGAGAGAGGTGAGGGGGTATCATTTCAGAAGCAGAGACACAGAGGCTGTGTGTGTGGAGAAGGTTCTTCCCTGGGCCAGAAGAGTATGTTTCAGAGATGATGTCTGTGTAATGTCTTGTCTCAAGTATTTCTGGAAGCTGCACTTGGCTGCTGCATTTAAAATCCTTTAAATTCAGTTTCTCCACTGCCCTTTTCCATGCTCAGCAGGAGGATGAACTACTTATTTTTATTTGAAAATCCTTGCCAGTATTGGGATGGCCAGGTGTCTCCTTACAGTGAGCACCCTTTCATTGGCAGGAGGAAAACATACATATATTATTTAACTGGAAAGAAAGAGCGTGGCAAACACTAGAAATGAGATCAAATTAAGAGCTTAGGTCCCCGTTAAGAGTCCTCATTGTCCTTCAAAGTACAGAAACCATGTTGACCTAGTTGGTTTTACACTTCTTGAGGACACAGCTGTTTCCAGAACTCCTTAGAAACCAGATTGCAAGGGGAAGATAGAGCTGAAAGCAGCTGATTGTCCTCAGGTTGTGGAGGTGTGAATTTCCACCAGCTGGGGATGGTTGGTGGGGGATGCTCAGAGCACTCTTGAAATGCCCAGGCAGTTGCAGCATTACAGGCTTTTTGCTACGAGGATTACAGAGCAGAGAGGTGAGTTGGATCTTTCTTTTTGTTATTCACCCATTTGAGGAGAAGGTTTCTGTGTCTTAGTCTGCTGTATGGTCCTGGCTGGCTTCAGTCATTTGATTGTCTTTCTCAAACTAGGCTAATTTCCTGGAACAGATCCTCTTAGAAGACATACTAAGGCACATGGAGGACAGGGAGGTGGTTCAGGACAGCCAGCAGGGCTTTATTAGGGGCAAATCCTGCCTGGCCAACCTAGTGATTTTCTATAGTGCAGTGACTGCATCAGTGGGCAGGGGAAGGCCTACACAGTCCCCCCCAAACATCTGTCTCTCTAAGCTGAAGAGATATGGGTTTGATGGGTGGACTGTTGTGTGGCTAAGGAACTGGCTGGATGGTCACATCCAGAGTGTAGTGGTCAATGGCTTGATGTCCAGATGGAAAATGGTGACAAGTGGTGTCCATCAGGGGTCTGTGCTGGCACCAGTGTTGTTTCATATCTTCATTAACAATATTGACAGTGGCACTGAGAGCACCACTAGCAAGTCTGCCAATGACACCAAGCTGGGGGGTGTGGTTCATATACCAGAGGGGCAGGATGCCATCCAGGGGGATGTGGACAAGCTGGAGGTTCAACAAGGCCAAGTGCAGGGGCCTGCACCTGGACTGGGGCAACCAGGGTTATCAATACAGGCTGGGGGAAGACATGCTAGAAAGAAGCCCTGTGGAAAAGGTCCTGGGGATACTAGTGGATCAAAAGCTGGACATGAGCCACCAATGTGCAGTTGCAGCCCAGAAGGCCACCCCCATCCTGGGCTGTATCAAAAGTGTGGCCCCGAGCTGCAGAGAGGTGATTCTGCCCCTCTGCTCTGCCCTGGTGAGACCTCACCTGGAGTACTGCATCCAGCTCTGGTGCCCCCAACACAAGAAGGATGTGGACCTGTTGGAACATCTCCAGAGAAGAGCTACAAAAATGATAAGAGGGCTGGAGCAGCTCTTATGAGGACAGGCTGAGGGAGTTGGGGTTGTTCAGCCTGAAGAAGAGAAGGCTCTGGGGGGACCTTACAGAGACTTTCAAATACCTGAAAGAAGGCTGGGGAAGAGCTGTTCACAGGGCATGTAGTAATATGACAAGGGGTGATGGTTTCAAGCTAGAGAAGGGTAGATTGAGGTTGGACATGAGGAAAACGTTCTTTACTGTGAGGGTGGTGGATCACTGGAATGGGTTGCCTAGAGAGGTGGTGGAGGTCCCATCCTTAGACATTCAAGGTCAGGCTTGATGGGGCTCTGAGGGGTCTGGTCTAGTGTGAGATGTCCCTGCTTGTTCTAGGGAGGTTGGACTAGGTGGTCTTTAGAGGTCCCTTCCAAACCAAGACATTCTATGATTTGATATTTCTAATGAAGCGCAAATGCATGTTCCCAGAGCTCAGCTAGTTTGTTCTTACTACTGATGACAGCAGAATTTGTTAATCCCTTTTTTGCTTGTGTTGATACAACATTATTATATGAAATAAAATTATTTTTCTTCAACTTGAACTATGGTGCTTTCTGGAAATGTGAGTGGTGCACATAGAGGATTCAATTGTATCCTTCCTTTATACTTGGGGAGTATTATGCTTGTGAAGTCTTGAGCATTTACTCTAAAAAGAATAATGCTAAGGCACAGCACAGGGCATGTCATTCAAGACTTAATTACCTATATGTTCAGCAAACCTTTTCTGGTGTATGCAGCCTGGAGGCAACATAGGAAGGAAATCCAAATTGTTCGTTCCATTGCTGTAAGTGATTTCACATGATTGAGCAATGCTAGGAAGTATGATGGTAAGAATTGCTCTTTTCAGACCCTGCAAATGAATAATTATTTCAAAAGAATTTGTGAACTTCTGTTTGACCCGGATTATTTCCTGAGTGGATAAGTTTTGCCAAAAGCAGTGTTTTAACCTGTTTACTGACTATATATATGTGTGTGTATATATATAATATGGACCTTGTAATTTTTAAAAGGCTTTATGAATCTATAGACTATCAGTACATAGAGGAGTATGACTGGTGTCATGAAAAACAGGCAACTTTTGACATAGTATTCAAATACTCTGGTGTTCCCCAGCCACACCTCTTTGCTGACAGATGTTGAAAAGCTGGACATGGTGTACACAAGCCATAGTTTGTCTAGATAAAAGGATCCCACTGGAATTCTTCTAACTGGAGGGAATGAAAAGATTCCCATGTGATGCCTGGCTTCTCCCTTTTTTTTTTTTAGTCACTCTGAGGTGCTCTGTATAGCCCCTTAGCTCGGTGTGAACTGACAGTTTTTCCTTGAGTCTTTGTCTGGGGGAGCATTCCCCCTGTGGCTGTATGAGCATGTTGGAGCAGGAGGCAGGAGAACCTGGCTCAGCACAGGTGAGAGCACGCCCAGGCCACGCACGCCTACGTGCTGCCTGAAGCTGGCAACCATTCCCTTGTCCTTTGGTTCCTCTGAGTCACTTGGCTGGAAATGAAACAGCTTTCCTCCCTGCTTTTCTGGCAGTGTTCCTCTCCCCAGCCCAGTTTGTCTCTGGGCTTGTGAGGACACATCTGCTGCCTGTTTTCGTGTCCGTGGCGCG